AACTCAATACATATCTAGCAACGCATACAATACACCGCGTGCAACTGGCATTCCACCGCCAATCCAACACGCCTACGTATACGGAACTTGGAGAATGACGAAGTGATAACCAACATGATTCGCACGTGACGACTTTCGAATGATGTCCCCGCCAGCGAACAACTGGCAACAAAGTTACCGAAAACAAATATAGTTTATTTGTATGGCCACGCAATCTGCCGGCCGCATACCCCGCGTTGCTTACGGTCATATGAGTACATGCACATATTTTCGTGAGCAAACCTCTTCCGGGTTACTACCAAATCACGTCGCATACATTTTAACGAGTCGATCAACTACCAGCCAGTCGCGGAGACAAATTAACATTATTTCCAAGACTGAAAGCTTATTCTTGTATTTTTTGTCCGTGTCTTTTTGTTCGTTGGATTGCTCATCCCGTGAACCGGCCCGGCTTGCGGATATCACACCTTGAACATCCGTGCTCTTCACAAGTTCCCATAATTGTCAACCCTCTCTCCATGCTCGTTGATGACATTCATCAAAGGGTCTAAAGAAGATAAGGGGGTTTGGCTCTCGCGACAATCCGATGGTCTGGGGTACTCAGTACCTCTCTCTGACGAGATTGGAATTTTGCAGGGAGGCTGACACTGGAACTCTCGACTGGAATTGAGATGCCAACATCGGGTAGGATAAGGCTGTAAAAGAGGAAAAAGAAGGGGCAGATGTGATTCGAACACACGGCCTATCGATGATGCAACTGGTGCTGCAATCGATTGCTCAACCACTGAGCTTCTACCCCTTGGAAAGGTATGAGACTTAACCTATGTCCACCCTTGGGCAATACAGAGTCAACAGCCTAGCTTGTTATCTAGTCCACTTTAACTTGACCCGGGGATTATAAATTCTGTGGTAAGAACAAATATGGTAAATTTACCTGTGTGATCGGTTGTTAGCGCCGTGGCAATACCATCCCGTCTCGGGTATTACAGACATCTGGTGAGTGGATTGCCGTCGTTGGGGGCAGCGGTGCCTAACATAGGCCCAATGACGCGTCCGACATCTGACGACGAGATTAGGGTGGTAGGTTTCTCAGTAGGAATGACATTGATTATAGGTGCAACCCGGCCCTGCTGCGCGACTCAACAGGCGTGGTATGTAGTAGGTATCCGCCTCCGTCTGAGTATGGATTGGATGGATCGAAATCTCCGCGAAATATTCATATGGTTGCAAGCCATTTGCCATGATGCTCTGGGAGCCCTCGGAACGGTCAGTTTTTGCAAGTGATTTTAATTTGATTTTTGATGTAAATATATGCGCCAACGGATATGTATTTGGATTAAGCGCTTTCCCCCCTAAACATTTTCTTACTGAATCAATAAACCCTTCGTTCCTCCGCGCCCGCTAATGACGAAGTTCGCTTGCACTACGACGTCACAACTTTGAGATCGCGGATCAGACCTTACTTTCACGTTAACACCCAACGCGCACATACACCATTCGATGTGTTGTTTAATTTTCATTTAGAATTTATTTTATTAACAGGGGATCCCGGACAAGGGAGACTGATTCTAACTAGCACGTAGTAACGCTGAAGGTCCTCAGGGTGAACCAACAGCACCACATGTGCGCCCCCGAGGAACCTCGGACCTGTCAAGCCACTCGATCCACGCGCCGGGATCGGGAGATTGCCAGAAGAGAGTGGCGCCACTGCTGCTGCGCTCGCAGGCATTGGCAAGCTCCGCCTCGAAGTTGAAAAGACCGAGGGAGAGACGAATAGTGGCGAAGCAACATATTTTACGTATTTCAGTGCGACATCGAGTGGATTCTTGTCAAGCATCGGGGACATTCAGGCTGGTTCGGCGTTACCGAGGTTCCCGAACACGCTCACCGCCACAGTGCATTATGGTGGGCGCCCCAGAAAATCTAGTTTTGACCGAGTTGATCCACTGGTGGAGCTCATCGTGTGTACATCCAAACGCGTAGGACCGCGTTAATAGTCACACGAATCAGCACTAGGAACTTCAGGTTTCATGTGTTACAACAGCCCCAGCCCAAACTGATTAATATTACATATGGTTCATCCGTAATTTACACTAGTGGTTGGTTGTATTGATGGGAGCTCCATTACGTGAACGCGGGTGCATCTTCGACATATGAGTTTGTGGCTGGGCGATCGTCTGATCGATATCCTTCAGAGCGCCGGCCAAATCCTGTCGCTCATCTCCTGGAATGGCAACAACCTTCATTAAGATGGCGTTGTGTACGTGCTCGCGGCTCTGACGTTCACCTTGTGGGAAGTCCATCCCAATGATTGCCTCCTTGAGTTTAGGGCCAAGATGAGGGCTGAGGAATCGGTGTGCGCTGATCAGTTGCGGGCACAATAACAGTACCGAACCCAGCTAAGATATGTGAGCCTAATCCCAGCCCACGAACTGCGTGCCTACCTTCTTGTACGCTAGCAGGAAACGGTTGAAGCCCGAATTGTAATCTTTGATTTGTGCAACAAAGGTCTTAAAGTCGTCCGACTTGTAATCTACGGGCTTGTGCTTGGCTTCGCAATGGGCAGCATAAGTCTCTCGAACGACTTGCTTTTTGCCGTTTTCGATATCGCCTTTTTCCAGTTGCGACCAACCGAGTGACGACTTGAGGCTATGGACCCCAATGATAACGTTTTATAAGAGTGTGATGCGTGGACGCTTGTTGACTTGCGTGCCCAGGGTTGGTAGCCTCCTGCACAAAACATTAGCATACGCCCGCTGAGCCAGAAGAGACGTGCGCCATAGAACCAATACAAATGCTGAGCTTGGATTCAATCGATGCGTGTCTGGTCGACCGCTTTCACAACGTCTGCTTCCAGTATGTCGGCCAATAGTTCAGCCAAAGCCACGCCCTAGAGAACATTCAGCAACAAATCAAGAATGCGAGTGGCGCGCACCATCTCCTCTGGTGCCAAGCCTTGGAGCCCAGCCGCAATGAAATAAAGACCATACGATACCTCGACAAACATATTCGGTGCGCTGGCCTCACTAACGCCTTCATACCATGCTTGAATCGAATATTTATAGTCTTTCATCGCCTTGGCAAGGTCCTCCTTGAATCCATCGTTCCCAACCTAACCCAGGGTCAGTTTTTCCTAGCATACATTCCGGGTAACTACCGCCATTCGCTCTTCCATGTCCAGATTGGTTTCTTTTGTCTATAAAACTGTGAGCTGAGGCCGTACCAAAGCAATTTCTTGCCTTTTGAGTCACGGTAAACCCAGCACCCTTGGGCTTCTTGTTAGACTTATCGCTTCCCTTGCCTCCTCCCTTTCGTTTCGGCGCACGCCATTCTTTCACTGACTGCGTAATAATTAGGGAAATTACGAGCAGAATGACATGTGTGTTCACCTTTTTGGCGGTCGATAGTGTACTAACAGTGACAAAAAGTTTGGAAATGTCACGTGATGCTGACGGCTCCAACCGACAAGTCTCTGTACTTTTACCTCCACAAGTGATTATATGCGCAATTGAATAGGGTATATCAGCTCAAATTTATACACTGTATATAGGGAGAAAATCGTCAAAAATTCTTGCCCCTCGTTACCGAGTTCTGGAGGCTACAATCAGATGGCCCCGAAGGGTACTACAGCGGGCGTGAGTGA